CTTAACAACTGCTAATATTAGATTACCATCTTTTTTTATTTTTGCAAGGATTCATTGAATTTTACAGCTGAAATTCACACGAATAAAATGCCTGGCCAAACAACAGAGATACAGACCCTAAGGGCATTGTGCAGTTTCCTCTTCTGTTCAAGAGACTGATAAAATCAGATTTCATACTTTGGAGGTTTTTTTTTTTTATTATTAGTCTAATACACTCCTCAGTCAACTGCTTTTGTTTTTCTGATACAGAGGATTTCAGAAAAAAAATAAAAGGAAATTCAGCATAAAAAGCCAGGTCTCCTCAAACAGCACAGGAATTCTGGCTCGTGGAGAGTGAAGCATCCCCATTCTGAATTTACCTGGCTCCTGGAGGTGCCAGTCCCTGGAAGGGTTGTAAAGCCATGGATATTTTCTATCATTAGCCTCTGACACCAGAAGCAGTGCCTGGGGGAGGGAGGCAGGATGAATGCCAGCCAATTCTCAGCAAGGCTCTCATGGCTGGTTTTCTTCTCCAGCTTTCTGAGCTGTTCCTGAACAGCCCCTGTGCTCAGTGCCTTGGGGCACTGCCTCTGCCTCGCCTTTGGCTGCAGCAGGGATGGAGCACAGCAAGGAGCAGACAAACTGCGCTCTTTCCAGAGAGAGAATCAAAAACCAAAAACCCCAGCTCTCCAGACTTGCTTACAGCCTCCTCACAATGCACTAGACACAGTGGCTGGAGTAAAATTGTGCAATGAAATGGACACTCAGCAATGGGTACAGAGTAAGATCTGACCTGCTGGAAGTTTAGCAGTTTAATGGAGATAAAGAAACCAATGGGACAGTGGTGAATAGAAAGAAAAAGAAAAGTTGAGGTATCCCACCAGTTGCATTTTCATACAACATTGTTCTGGTTAAATCTCATGTTTAATGAGAAGTACATGGGTGCTTTGGCTTCCTGTGAAGAGCTCTCCCACGCTGCAGCTGAAAACCACACACTTGTAATCTCAGACATTCACCTTTCCTGCAGAAATGTACCCTACAGATGTATCAGCTGCTGGTAGACTCTGACCTATGCAGAGCTGTCAGTATTAGTGGGAAATGATGAAACCCACTTTAATGCATCCAGTGGAGGAAGAAGCATTTGTGAAAGCATTTATTCCATCATGGGAGAAATCTCATCTGACCTAGTTTCCTATTCTGTTTGTTACCTCCTGGCTGTCTCATCTGAGGTTCCACCTGCTGTTTCTCCATCTGCCAGTCTTTTTTATATCAGAGGAACCTTCTGAGTTACACGTTAAATGTCAGGCGGGCTGGAGAAAAGCTGTTTATGTCTGCATTTAAACAGATGATATTTCCATTAAAAGTGCTTCATGGAGACACTAAAGGCTAAGAAGTCATTTGCATTTGGTTATTGCAATTCACAGGCAGGCTTGCTTGTGTGAAAACTCATGCTATTATTTCAGAACTTCCTACACCCAAGCAGAATGACCATACCCTGTGAAGTTCACTAATAGTGTCTTCTCTAGTAATATTGAAAGCCTTAAGCTAGGGGCCAAAAAGCTACCAGATAATATAGTTAAAGTCACTGGAAACCAAAATCACTAACAGGGAACCACCTGCTTTCTCCCACTTACCTCCTAAGCTATTTCAGAGAAGAACACAAAGATTTAGTTTGGATTAATGTGTGAATACACATCAGTTACGCTAAAGAGTAATTAACTCTAAGGCTGCAATACTTAAGGGCAACCACTCCATTCAAACCCAACACTTGAGGTATATTTTGCCAGCATATAAAACCACAGCTATGCTGAGAATGCCTGGTAAGGACTTACCTGTGAGATTATCAAGATATTTTTCTTTGCTTTTCTGTTACTTTTGCTATTCATAGATACTTTGCAAAGAACTTCCTTTACTTTCAGCAAGTTAAGGAAGGATCAGGGAGCATCACCTCCATCATGTATCATCTCCCCGGCAAAAAATAAAGTATTGCATAGCCAGTGCCTCAGGAAACTCCAGAATCAAAGGTTTCAGCAGATATTTTTTCATGAAAAAAAGCATACAGAAGAAATGAAGTGGAAACTCACCACGTCAGTGCAGACTGCCACACAATTTGTACAAGATCAAATGTATATTGCAGCTACAGCTGTCCTCACATACCTATGTGAAGCCAGTAGGAGTATTTCCACAGATTTCAGTAAACTTTGGATCAAATCTTAGGGGCAATTAAGTAGTCCTATTTTGTATATTAAGATTTTATGAATACGTGTAGGCAGACATTCTGTACCTGACTTTCACTGTGCTCCTGGAATTAGTTCAGCCTTTAAATGGACAGCTGTGGCTTTTCCAGTCCCCCAGTTCTTGGAGGCAGCGGTCTCCACTTGGAATTTGCTGCACCTGTTTGACCCACTGTCCACATCTGACCCTTCCACATGAGCATCCCTGGGCCTAGACGGTCCATGCTATGAAAACCAGGATGAATAAACTCTGTGCTTCCTGTAGAGATACAAGCATGTTACTTTGAGTTTATGAGATTGCAATTTACCTTAATTTGCCTACAACTGTCTTGAGGGAATGAAGGAAAGTCTTTGGCGGGGAGGGGAAACACTTGAAATTCATTATATAAAAGTCATGTAACACAAGTATTAACACTATGATTTACAGTAATAAAAACATTATTACAATGTGTTTAATTAGGAACCATTGCAAGACCAATTAAAGTTGTCAAAATAGAACAAAAAAGCAACATGTGTTTTTCCCCTGGAGGAGTGGGATATGGTGAGGCTCATTATTAACTCTTAATTAGACAATAGAAGATTGCTTTTGCTTTGAGTCAAAATCCAAGCTCTTACAAAAAAAGAGCTCCAAGTTATATTCCTCTCTGTCAGACATGGTTTAAAAATTTTTTAGCACACCAGCAGAAGCATTTTTTAATACACAGAGTAGACACTTTTAAAAACCTGAATTCAACAGTATCTATTTAGTTCAGCTTTAGCACCCAACACAGTTCTGACATTTGTGACCTGCATGCCAAAATCCATCTCACTGCAAAAAATAAGACACAATGACACTTGGTTTACCTGGAAAGGATGGTCAGGCAACCCTCAGAGGAATCTAATTAAAATGCAGCTTGTTACCAGAGCAGTGCATCACACTGTGCTGCCATGGTAACCAGGGTCCCATGGACTTTTGGGGCCATCTGAGGGCATGCTTGCAAGAGGCACACAAGAACCAAACTGATCACCTTTGGTACATTTTAAATGACCTAAAAACTCTGAATGATTTGCTGAAATTACCAATGAAAGAAACAAATTAACTCTGACATGTTCAGACAAGGGACCAGTCTCAGGAAACAAACTCATTAATGTTCTTTATGATATAACACTCCCCAAAGCTTATTTAAGAAGTGCACTACTTACTTGCAGCATGTGAGCAACCAGTTTAAATTGATTCCCCGGGAAAGAAGCAATAGGGACATCAAGACCTGCGCTGTGAACGTGAAGATGAATAACAGAAATACATATTCTATTTAGACTGCTCTTTCCAGCGCTATTTTCTGAAGTACCAGGCACAAGACTCCTCTCAGTTGTTGCTTTTGGTGGATGATTCCCTGCAGCCATACTGAGGGGGAATCTCACTACAGCACTGAGCTTTTCTTTCCAAGTCCTTCTCCTAGAACAGAAAGATTCTTAAACAAAATTAAGAAATATATTAAAGCAGTATCTTACCTTGTACCCCATCCTGATATAATTTTCCAGGAATGCAATAGATTTGTAACTGAGGCATTCATTTTTCACAGTAAACATATCCAGGTCAAGAAAATCTTTCGACACATCACCTGTGAAAGAGACTTTGGAACTGTTGCTGGGTTGCAGCAGATTACCATGAAAGATTTCCGCAAAAAAGCACAGGACTTTAGATTCTGCTAAGCAATTAAACAACTGATGAAAATACCTGAAAGTTGTCTGAAATGATCAAGGGGATTTTTCATTGCTTTGACAAAAAAAAAAAACAAAAGAGAGCTTGATAGCAATTCTTCTGAAACAAATCAAAATCCTGAGAAATACTGAAATACTGGTTTGGAACTGGGGGATGACACAGGAAACTGAAGCACTGGCATTCCAAGCACCATGAAACCAGCATGTTCATGTGACTTTGGCTCACAGTGCTACATCATCAGCTCCCCCTGTCCACTGATGGAATGGGCACACAGTCGCAAAGATCTATTTCATGTTGGGCATGATAGTACCAGTAAGGCTGCAGAAAGCCAGAAAGGAGGTCAGTTCACCAACAACTTGGAAAGTTCATTCTCCTTGGGTCTGTGTCTCTTTTTGAGCATACCAGTAACATGCATTATATGGTTGTGCCTAAGTTTCCCCACTTTCAAAACCAGAAAATGATATTCTGTTACCCAGAACATTGAAAAGGGTAGCTGCAAGTCAAGTCCAAAATGCCACTCAAGACTAAAGAACCCTAAACATAAAACCACTTCAGGTTAGAGCTAACACTTGATCCAAAATAACAAATAATAAAACATGATAGAGGTAAAACCATCTCACATTTAAATCTTTATACTGTATGGAAGAATATCCAGGCAGCACATGTCTAAAAAGCGAGAGTAGACTGTACTTCAGCAAAATGAGACTTTATACAAGACAAATTCATTGCAACTAAGCCATCACTGTATATCCCAGCACTTTAACAACCTTGGAGCAGTAATTCCTCAAAGAGCCTCATGATTTCCTGTTAACCTGCTGCAGCCCACTATTAATGGCTTCATTCACTTTCAGGTTGCCCTTACAACAGCAAGTTTATTAGCCTACAAGCAAATCTGTCAGCAAAGCTGCATCCAGCTGCAGTAGCAGCCCTGATTTCCTCATTCTTCATGTTTTTTGTACAGATTTGGCTTACATTTTCTGGTTTTGCTCCTCCAGTTCCTTCAAAAGAAGCAACACAGCTTGAATGCCTCAGCAGGGGCTTTTGGAAGGGGAAGGTGTTGTTAGAAATCATCACTAATATAGAAATTCATTTTTAATGGGTTACGTTTTATTTGCTTCAGTTGAACACCATTATTTACAGACACAAGTTAATAAAACACACCACAAAACAATAAAATTTCAACAGCTAATATTTATAGGTGCATAGTTCATGCTCAATTACTTTTTTTTTTATATGTATAATACATACACATATATATAAAGCTCTCACAATAAGTCATCTCTGCACAGAAAGAATAGTCATAGGAAACAAATAAAAACTGTATCAGAAACAATATCAAATTACTGACAGCCTATCAACAAAACATGTACAGAATTAGAAATAAGCAGTAGACACTTAGGTGTTTTTACTTAATATTTTCTTTTTTAACTTTTAAACTTGAAGCCACAATATCCACAGCACAACAATGACCCTGCCAACCGGCTTTCATTTCAGCAGGAGGGAAATGCTGGAACAAGGTGGATGCAGTCACAGATACTCCAATCATTGCTGATGGAAGACTTCAAAATACACCGTAAAAACTGTAAAAAAATTGAACAACTGGGCACATTGGAACTCAGCACTTGTACAGGATGGGACGTCTCAAGGAGTTAGTACATTTCAGGTGATAGAAAGGAAGGAAAGGACTCTCATGCTTCTGGCTCATAGTCTTGATACTCCTCCTATTGAGGGAGAGCAGAAATCAACACTGCTGGTATTTTAGATGAAGACATCCTATTTTCTCCATTTATTCTACTCCTGGTGGATTCGATGACCAAATATTATGGATTCTCATGTGACCAGGCTATGAAATGTATTTGGATTTTGTCACATTTCCCAGATTCTGTACCTTACAAGTCATGGTACTTAGAGGAGAATTAGACTTTTACAGTGATTAACACATCATTCAGCTGATGCTGCCAGGAACTCCTGAGGCCACCCATGACAATTCACTTGGAGAGACAGGAATACTGCTTCTGGGCTGAACAGCACACCAGGTGCTGCAGATCCTCATATGAGTCAGTAAATCATTTAAAGGAGTGTTTAACTATGGCCACATGAGCAGCATCCACAATTTCAGTATATTCAAGATGTTACCCTCAAGCCTTGAAGTCTTTTATTGGATCATGGCCTAAATTTTTTATACCTCTCATTTTCAGTCTTATTATCTGTGCCACCATAAAACTGCTAGTCCAACTAACAGTGCATCATGCCAGACATTGCAGAGAGCTTGTTCATAAAAATCAACAAAATAATTTACTCCCATAATTGCATTAACTTAGGATCATGCTTCACAAAGCATGATGCATTGGTGAGAGGCCAAGCTATTCAAACCATCTATGAAGATGCAGTTTATCTTGCATTCCCTATTGAACATACAAAAAAAGGATTCCTCAAAACCCAGGCACAAGTGTTTTGAAACACAGAAAATAAATTCCCATGTAACTTCCTTAGTATCAAAAGAGCACATAATTTTCTGACTCCCAGCATTATACCTCTGGCAGATCTTGGCCAGAGAGACCAAGTTTCTGCTGTGCCCTTGCACCAGCCTGGGTCAGGCTTATGTGACTTGAGCATGCAGCCTCCTCCTGCGGCCCTCTCTAACACGCATTCCCAGCAAACACCACAACAGATTTACCTCTGGAGGCATTTCATAAGCCTCGTTCTCAGGATCCACAGGAGCACCTGTATTGTTCACCATTCCCTCCTGCAGGAAGCCTTCTTCATTCTACATTTAAAACAGGGAAAGAAAAGTGACAGTGAGTGCTCGCCTCAGCACTCCCACCAAAGTGTGACTTTCCTCCCCCATCATTGGTTGACTTCTTGACCTGCCCTTTGGTTTTGGGATATTACCAGGGGTCATGGAGAGTGAGGGAACATGAGTTGCAGACAAATCTTCCTCATGTTTCACAGGGATACCCCAAAAGAATGAAAACTATCATCTTTTTGAATAGCTGAAATCTCATTTTTCACTTGTCATGAGGAGGCCAAGAAGTCAGTGTGAATAAAAGAACAGTACCCACCACCAGCTTGCTGAATATCTTGGGAAAATATTTTAATCCCATAGAAATGGTTTGGTCAAGTCATAAAGCAAACCAAAACAAGGTGGTTTTGGGCCTTAAGAAACCCATCTGGGAAACAAAGTCTTGCACAAATGGTTTAACTATCACATTAAGTTACCACATTAATTCATGTTTAACTGCTTTGGGGAACACAGTGGCAGCTACAGAAAAGTGCCTGTAAAAACAGGCCAATATCAAGACACACAAATGAAACAGTAATTCAATTATTTATTTTTTAAATGTTAAAGACACATCCACCCTCTCATAAACCATTATTAATTTTAAAGTTTAAGTCTTTTCATATCGCAAAAAGGTGGAAACATGCTACTTTTTTTCTTGTTTTAGAATCTAACTGTACTGGAAAATGCTTTTTTCCTTTAATGGGTCATAGCTTTACATGCTCTGTTATGTCAACCAGCACGTTACTCTATGCACTACTGGTATATGATACATGACACAATACTCTTACCCAGCTTCTTGCATTTTTTTTCTTTATTACAGGAGCACTTCTATTTTATACAGCAATTTTAGTAAGACACTCTTGGAGTTTACAAGATGGCAATGGTGTGAGGAATAACATGCTGAATAAGATTACTAAAGGAAGATTATTATTCTCCTAGAACTACAGATGCTCTGTACCATATGAAACAAACACAAAGAAAAAAAACCCCAACATTTCAATTGGGCCAATCCTCCTTGGAACTGCTACTCCAGAAGTTCACAGAGAAGCAGCATGATCTCTGCCAGAGCAGAAGCTGCTGGCATTCATCCTGAACTGTAAGAAAACTGATATGAAAACAGGCAGTGTGTCTCAATGGATCTATTGTGACTATGCTGACTTATAACAGGTGTAAACCTAGACAGAAATGCACTAAAACCAATTACAGACACTTGGGAAGGAATTAATTTAAAAAACCCCACCTGCAGGCTGGTAAAGCAGACAGAAATACAAAATTAAGTAAATCATAAACCAGCCTAATGAAATAATTCTTCAGAATCTACAACTAAGACAGTGGTACTAAATTAAATTTAGGATACAGACAAAATGAGGATAAGAGAAGCTAAGCCTGAAATTCACCTCTGAAAGCTTAACACAAAATCAAATCTAAAATGCAAAAAAGGTGGCACTAAACCCTCTTTACCTTCCCACATTATTTACTGTGCTTCCCCATTTGCCACATATTGGCTCTCTCTGGGGTTTAACCAAGTGACCTTAGTCATAACACCCTGTTCCTCACTTTCTGCACCATCCCAAGGACAAACTGTGACTTCATCTGCCAGATACCTAGTCTTCCTTGGATCTGTCACCTTTGGGATACATATGTAGGTACACATTTTTCATCCTCACCATCCAAGTTTACAATGTACAGAATTTATATCCATAACACAGATTCTTCTCTCCAGCTCTTACTTTAGACTTTAAAAGCTCCAGTATGAAGAGATATCTGGTCCTATTACTCCTCTGTGCTTTTTCCTTTGGAGGTAAGCAGCACAGTCTGTGTGGAGTCTAACTTCTGCCAAGTTCCCTCCATGCATGTGCCTGCTCTGAGTAAACACCCTGAGCTGCTCTATGGCATAGACAACATGGATAAACCCCAAAAAGCCAAAGGACTCCAATGAATTACTTGCAGGTACCTTTATTTAGATATTTAATAGGCACCAGTTTGGTTTTCCAGAACTGCCAAAAATTTGGGGTGTTCAACACAAAAGGTAATTTTTCAGGCTTGAAATTATGAGAAAAACGAGACCAAATTACATTTCTGCCTCATCTTATTAAAACCCTTGAGCTCCCCAGATTACTTGACTTCAGTATTTACCTACCTTGGTTTCTAAACACATTTTAATAGCATTTTTGCCTGTTTGCTTGTATGAAAAGTAGCATCAATCTTTACCAGCTTTGACTGAAATAGTCAAATAAAGTGCGTCATGCAAATTTTACAGAGGTTACTGTGCCCTTGCCCTGACAGACCAGTTCTAAAGACATAAAGCTCCTGTCGCATGCTCTCCTGCTTAATCCAAAATAAAATTTAATTTCTGCTTCCCCCAGTCATTAAGGAACAGCTTCAGCTAACAATCAGCTCATCAAGTAAAACTGTGCCCAAAATCAGGCTTGAAGGTGCACAAGAAAGCATGTACACAACTTCATGTTATCTGTAGCAGGAAAACAGATGGCAAGTGAAACTGCCAGGACCATTATTAATGACAAGGAAAAACACTTGCCAGCTGCATTTCAAATAAGAGCTTCAAAGTCTGTATGCTGTTTTTTTGTTAGGAACCTCTGCAATGGATCTGGACTGTCCATCAGGATTATACTGAAACACAAGGCCTAAAAGACTGAAATTATCATCTTTCCAAGTCCCTTCAGCAAGTTCAGGACTTAGATTTCTCTACAGCTTCAAAGAAAACAATCAGCAGCACTAGAAAAACACAACATCAACCACATTTTTCAAAGGAAGAAATCATAAGCCATAACAAACCTCCAAGGGACCTCCCTGCCCAGGAAGGGTTTATCACCTTTGCCCAGCTGCAAGCAGCACCACAAACACCACCTCTCACGTTGATGTCACTGCAGTTCAGATGAGGATGACATTACTCAAGGTCATCTGTTGCATAAAAATGCACAGCAAAGGTGACCACCTCACTTGAAATGGTGGCATGCTCCACTTCTGATGTACAGCTCCCCAAAGTAAGGGTATCGCAAAAGTAAACCACCGCCCCCAGTAACACAGAGCCACCTTAAATCATATTTTACCTCCTTTAAAACAAAGAAATGCAATTTTACGTTGTCATGATCAGTAATTCCAAATCCTAATTCAGTTATGGAAGAGGAAAACCACCCAAAAGACCAATTCTTGTCTTAATATGAAAGACACATTTTTCTCTAGAAGCTGCAACCTCTCTCAACCACACTGAAGGGCATTTCCAGAGGGAAAGACTTTTTTCTATTAGATCATCTGAAAAGCTCAACTAAAGCTACTCAGAGATGAAGTCAGTTTTTGACTGGGGAGCATGAACTCTTTCTGGAAAAACACTTTTAAAAGGGGAAATTACAACTCACCCAGTCAACAAGGTGTTAGAAGAATGGTGAGGTGAGGACTTCTGCTTGTCCCCTAAGGATTCCCTTAAGGAAAAATTAATACCCACCCATATATCAGTCTGAAGCACAGTCACTCTGGTTATATTTTGACTCCAGAGAGTCTCATGCCCTCAGACCCTACATTACAGGAAGAAAGCTTTTGTGCTATCCCAAGCAGAGCAGACCAGGCTGCCATTCTCAGGCATTAACAACGGTGCCACTTTGTGCTATCAGCACTTCTGCCTGTGAGAGCTGCACAGAGTCCATGAGCTGCCAGGCCACCTGGCAAGCCCATGCACACTTTTCCCAGGAATACCTGGCTACATTATACAGTGCATCCCCTCTCTTCCATGAGGTTCTCTCATTTCATCAAGCAACCTGTGTCCTTCTACAAACAGAGGAGATGGTGTCCCATCATGGTGAAGTGACACTTTTGTACGACCCTGGGCACCAGCTCTGACTCAAAGAACAGGTATGAATGAATATAAGTGGCATAAAGGAGCATGAAGCAGAACTGCAGTGATGGCTCCAAAACACTGATTCCTCCTCTTTTACTGTGGGAATCAATCTGTGCACAACCATGTGAAATGACCAACTTTTGCAATAAAACAGTAATCAAATTAATAAAAAACTCCTCCTGATGACCTGGGCCTGTTAAAATACAGAATATTTGTCAAGACTTCAGAACTACTCCTTTTATGATGTAAATGCCACCAAATAGGTTTTTCTTATTTCAGTGTTTTTGGTGAAAATTGCACCCCATTCTTTCCCACTTCATAACAATCTTGGTTGAAGGGAAGAGACTGTTTAAGATCCCCTATCCATGAAAAACAGACCAAGTGGTCGACTCCTGGTAGTGCTCCTATGTCAGCACCATGTAGTGAAAGGGTCACCTTCAGGAGTGTGCATTCTGCTGGTGTTGTAATGCCAAGTCATTGCTGTCAGAAAAAAGGTAATTTATCCCAAGTCAGAGACAAGAGCAACTTCAAAAGGAAGAGTTACAATTGTAATTTAGTGGCTGATCTAAACACTATACTTTGCCATCTCTCTGGTTAGTAATAGGTTTTTTCTCTCCATTATGAACACTGATGAAATCTTACAGTCACGCATAATTCCCATGATTACTGGAGACTAATTCCTTCTGGAGTGATTCCACATCGTGAGATAAACAATCCAGGCTACCAAACTGTCTGCTCTTAGAACATTTATACTGGCAAGAGGCAATCACTCTGCAAGCCAGGAACCACAGAGGCCAGAACAGACCTCCAGAAATTGCCCACCTAGAGCAGGTTGCTCAGGGCCACTCCTGATCAGGTTTTAACCATTCCCACAGACAGACTCCACAATCTCACTGGATAACCTCTTCCAGTGTTCAATAAATACACAGTGAAAACTTTTTTCTACATTGAAGTGGAGTTTCCTGCTTTTCATTTAGTGCCCACTGCTTCCTGTCATTTCACCACTGAAGAATCTGGTGTCAGTCTCCTTGACCTCCACCCCTACCAGGTGTTTATACTCATTGATAAACTCCCTCCCCCCCAAACTCACATTCATGTTGTTTTGTGGTTGCTGATTTTCTGTCTGTTCTTG